GATGTAGAAAATTTGTGATAATTATTGTGTTCATTATTGGGCTCTAGGCTTAGCCTTTCATAATAAACTGATTAGTTCATTATTAACGACATGGGTGATATATGTGGCAGTACAGTGATGAGCAATTGAATATTCTTGACCAAGAATTTATGTAGAAATATCCCTCCTCCTTTGGAAAAGGTTAACTAGTAGAAACTCTATATGTTCAATATACTTATACCAGAAACAAAGGTATGTTATGGGTTGGTAACACCCCCCCCCCCAAAAAAAAAAAAAACAAACAAACAAACTTCCTCCCTCACACGCGTCAGGTTATATCAACTGGAGAGACTCTTATGCTTTTCACTTTGCGTGAGAGCTGTCTTGGAATATATATATTTTTTTTATTGACGTGATTTCCTTTTAATCTGAACAATTTGAATCAAAATTGCCAGGATCCATGAAAATGGATGTTCTGAGGAATCTGTGGTGCATTTTGCTGTGGAAATTTGGAATCACATAGGAATTTGCATGGGCTTTAGCGTCCCACTTGAGGAAAAGGTATATATAGTTATGGCTATCATGTGTTGGTCAAGCTTAATATGTTTAGTGTTTCTAATGCATTTTTTTTTTTTGGGTACATTCTAATTCTAAATTTTAATTATCTACTGTGCTTGTTTATTGTTGAATAGCAATTAAATGATGCAATCAAATATTGATGCTGATTTTTCTGCTTTTATCCTAGGGACTTCTGGGTGCAATTATGAAAGTGATGAAACTTGCTGTTGGCTATTGCTCTGTGGAAAGCCAGAATATTATAATTAAAAAGGCGTACGACATACTTTCTTCACACAAGAGTCTTCAGTTTAAAGAACTGGAAGGATCACCTGTAACTCCTGGACAATATGATGTTTCTGATCGAGATAAATGGGTGCTATCAATATTTGCATCAGCAGTTATTGCAGTTTTTCCCCAAACATGCATTCCAAATGAAAGAACAGTTTTGCGTCTATTTATAGTAAGCCTCCTCAGGGGTGTTGTTCCAGCTGCTCAGGCCTTGGGTTCTATGATTAACAAAATGGTTTCAAAATCTGAAGGTACTGAGACTTCCAGTGATCTTACCTTGGAAGAAGCTCTTGATATTATATTCAACACAAAAATATCTGGTCAGAAAGGTAGTCAAATGAATCATGGAAATGATGTGGTTCTGACTGATTTATGTCTTGGAGTTGGAACTGATAGATCGCTTCAAATCAATGCCATTTGTGGACTCTCGTGGCTTGGAAAAGGTTTGCTTCTACGTGGTCATGAAAAGATTAAAGATGTCACTATGATTCTTATGAAGCTTTTGTCATTGGGCACAAAGAGTGCCTTGCCTTTGATCCAAGATTCACAAGAAGAAACTAATGTGAAGAATTTAGATCCTTTAGTAATGAAGTGCGCTGCTGATGCATTTCATATTCTTATGAGCGATTCTGAAGATTGTTTAAATCGGAAGTTTCATGTCAGAATGCGGCCACTCAATAAGCAGCGATTTTTCTCTTCCATGATGCCTATATTCCTGCAGTTGATCCCAAAATCTCATTCTTCAATCTCCAGGTACAATATCGCTCCTTGCCCCGAGATAACCCACCCTATAAGAAGCACTTTGATCTTCAGTCCTGTCTTGACGCACTAACTTAACATACTTGATTTGATGCTATTATTTCTTGTCGCCTTTCGAATTTCATTTTCAAATTATTCTACTCGATGTGTAGTCGCCTATTCTACTTGGCCAGATAGAGGAAATCATCAAGATTTTGTAATCGGAAATTACCATATTTTCATGTGGACCAACATCTTCTGCCTGCATACTTTGCAACCATGTCAGATTTTGTTGTCCTAGCTCCTTATCCTTTTGCACCAGAATAACATTATAATATTATTGATCTTATTGTCACCCTGGAAGTATGCTAATTAATAAAGTGTCCTGTTTATGCCCTCAAGGTCAAGAAGTCGCTACTTCAGTAAGTGCATGGTTGTAAGAGATTAATTTCTCATTTAAGGTTTTCAAGTATCAGACTATTGATGCCTCTGGTGATTTGATCTAGTTCTAGGTGATAATTGCTGTAATTTATCTTCAATGAGTTCTTTTTCTTTCACTGTTTGTGTTCCCCCTTTTTCAAAAATGGCCTTGGCTTCTGTTGTTGTTTTAGTGGATATTATTGCATTAAGAGAATAGTCTATGTATGTTTCGATCAAACATCAATGTCTGTCTGACAGATATCCCTTTTTTCCCCTTAAATTTGGTATGCTATTTTATATCCTTGTGAATGATTCTAGCAGAATTGCTGAACCAGGCATATGAAAAGAGGAATGACTTTGCAAAGATATTTAAGATAATATCATAGTTTAAATGTTGAATGTCATGAATAGAATTGTTTGCAACTTACTTCTTAATGCATACAAAAAGCATAGTATTGCCACTGAACTATTTTACCTGGTGTTTTCTTTTGTATCTTTTCCTTCCTTAACAAAATGCTAATACCTAGGCCGCAATTTTGCACAATTTCAGGTCTGTGTTATATCGTGCTTTTGCACATATCATATCTGATACCCCACTAACGGTGGTGTTGAGTGAAGCCAAAAAGGTTAGTTTCAGAAATTTGAAACTGTGTACATTAATTACATATGTTGAATTTTCTTGACCACTCACTTTATTATAGTAATTCCTGTGCTAATTTTGCAGCTGATACCAGTTCTCCTGGATTGTTTGTCCATGTTGACAGAGGATATTCAAGATAAAGATATGTTGTATGGTCTGCTGCTTGTCTTGTCTGGGTTCTTAACTGAGAAAAATGGTAATTACTATGCTTCTATCTTTATTGTCGCCTCATTAAAATTAGGGTATGTAAACGAAAGACACCTAATGTTTGTTGGTTCCGAACTTCTCATGCTGTGTTCATTTTGTTTGCTTTTGTCTTTTCCTTGTGTCATAGAAGAGGGGAAACATTAATTCTACATCCATGCCAAATTCGTGAAAAAATGTTGCAGGTTAAAAAACAGAAAAATTAATCATTTAGTCCCTGTAGTTTTAACCCAGTTGTAACTTAGTTCCTAAACTTTGACTGGTTATAACTCAGTCCCTCAAATTTTAACTCAATTGTTAAAACTTCAGGGACTAAGTTATAATGAGTCAAAGTTCAGGGATTGAGTTACAACTGGGTTAAAACTACAGGGATTAAATGACTAATTTTCCTTTGAAAAACAGATGACTCAAATTGATTTTTACTCACGTGAGAATGTTTCTTCCAAGAAATGCTGTCGTAGTGATGTGACATCTATGGAGCAACCATGAAACCTTGAGAGATCATCATTTTTTCTTTAATCTAAATAGAAAAGAAATTGCTTCCTTGTGCGGTTGGTCTTTTGGGCCTATAAAATATTATTGAATCAATGACCTGCAAATGCTACTCGCTAATTTCCTTAGCTCGCTCAAACATGGGTTATTACTTTGAGACTACAAAATTGATTTCCATGTATGTATAATCTGCATGCAGAACATGAAGCTGTTGCTGAGAATGCACATATTGTCGTCAATTGCCTGATTAGGCTTGTAGAATATCCTCATAAATCGGTAAGTATTTTCTTGTCCAAGTTATTTGCTTCTGAAATGGTCTGAGTTGTGTTGTAGAGCAATTTTATTGTATTCGTTGTGGCCTGACATGCCAGGTTGAGTAGTGTAGACATTTTTCTTGCTCTGGATAATGTTGGAGCAGTAGGGTATACCTGAAGTTCTCCTACTCTCAGTTAATTTATGTATTTTAACTTATAACTGTGAGAGTGTCCAAAGATACCAGTTAAAAGACGAGCTGTACGAGTGAAGTTTACTTTCTTACTCTGCCTTACCTAATTGCTTAGCCGAAGAATTCATCCAAAGCCTTGAAAATTGATATCTCCCTTTCTCATACTCAATCTCCTTGTCACCTTATTGTCTAACACAGCTCAAAGTTAATGATGTTAATGAACTTGTCCCTCTCTCGTGCAGGTTGTCAGAGAGACAGCTATTCAATGTCTTGTGGCCATGTCCGAGATGCCCCATGCCCGGATCTATCCCATGAGAAGACAGGTTTGTTTGACGTTTAGCAAAATGCTGGTTTTTAGGTCTCGTAGAGATGAGGATTATGAATTTGTGAAGTGATTTTGAATTTGATTATGTATGGAGATTATCCTTGCTTAGATTGTGTAATCATCATAACGATTGTATTAGGTACTAAAAGCAATATCAAGGGCTCTTGATGATAAAAAGAGATCTGTTCGTCATGAAGCTGTCAAATGCCGACAAGCATGGTTGGTACTCTTGTGATATACTAAAACTTCTTCCAGAAATGTCAAAATTATGACGTCTTCTCGTTTGTTTTTTGAAAAATTACATCTCTTCTTTTGAAATTAAAAATGTTGCAATTGACATTTCTTCAATAAAATGTAAGCTTCAATTTTATCCATATTTATTACTTTTAATATTAAATGTAAATTGAATTAGTATAAAATATTCAAACTTTGAATTTAGAACACGTTGAACATTTTTCTTTTTAATATTTTATGTATATTATCGCAATAGAAAAGTGAGATATGATCGTATTTTCTGTTGTCTCATATTTATTGGTTGACACTGGGCAGGGCGTCGATTGCATCGAGGAGTCTTCATTTTTGAACATTTAGGCAGCTGAAAACGTTTTGACCGTTGAATTTACGCCCCCCCCCCCCCCCCAACACCAAAAAAAAGGGTCTTGTTCATAGTAAAGTCTGATATCTCTTTTTTGTCCTTCTAAAGATCTTAGTTTTCAGTTTTTACACTTTAAGAGGATGTCCTTGGCCCTTGTATCACCATTCTTCCTCATATGTATTGCGGCGCATGTACAGCAGTTTGCCAACACCCAGAAACTATCAGTTGAGTTGTGTCCTTTAATGATCCAAGTCTGATTTATATCTACAGATGGACATGAATTAGTCGCTTATTGAAGTATATCACCAAGCAGAACTGATTAAAATAACAAAATTGCAATACATAAAATCATTGTTGACCAACTATAGATTAATAATAATACATCATGGGTTGAAATTAAATGATAGCAAGTCAGCAACTTCAGAATGCTGCGAAAATTGAAAAGTAGAAATGGCTTGTACAGCTTATACAGTGGAAATTGGACACATGCGCTGTTATTTTCTTTTGTTCAATGAGCAGCGGCTGAGAGTCAACTATCATTTCTTATCACTGAGCTGAAGAAAACAAACTGGGCACAAGCACTTCATTTAGAAGACTTCCTCTGCAATTCACAAGCTGGATCAGCGTCCTCCATTATTCTCACAACCCATTAGGTGCATCCAGCATAGAAGCTTGCATTTTAGTTTATTGCTCGCCAGTCCCAAGAGAGAATCATTTCCCCTGTGGCTTTTGTCAATTCTCTCTCCATTGCCAACGTGTGAAAGACTTTAGAGTTGAGATGTTAAAATACTAATTTTCACGAAACATTATCGTAGATAGTACATGATAGTATCAGGGGAATGTGCTCGATGATTTAACTTGAAACTGCCTACAATCAGGAAGTATATGGGTGTGGATTTAATGGACAAATTATAGGATCGATCGTCTCCTCCTCCTCCCACTGAAACACTCTGGGTCAGGTCAAATCGACTATCTGCTGCTAACTCCGCGGCCAGAACTTCATCGAGCAAATTTTGATTTGAGGCAGCAACGTTTGCTTCAACTTCAAAGGCTCATTCAGACATGTCATCCTCCGCTCCACTAGATTGATAATTATCCTGGTGCATTGCAACTCTATGTTGCTGTTCCAGATCGTCATCCATGTCTAAAGCCCTTCTCTTTGAAGAACTTCCCTTTATGTTTGTGTAACCCTTCAAAAGCAATTAGCAATACAAGAGTCACTTATTTAATATTCTCAATGGCAGAATGGCTAAGTTTTAAGATTACTTCAGTCTCGAAGTCATACCACAGAATCCTTCCGTTCAATTGCCGAAACGGTTGGCCTTTGCCTTACAGTCACTTTTGAAGGTGCTGCAAATTGCTCAACCTCATCAGTAGATCTTCCCTCTTTAGCCCTCTTTTTTCTCAACAGGATTTTTGTTGGTAGAGGCTGCAGATTAAAAATGGAATAAATTAACAATGACATATCAGGAAAACTAAGTAACATTATGCCAAGCAAATGGATGGTAGAAGGCATGGATGTATTAGTTCCAGAAAATACCAAATATAGTGCTTCTGATTCCTCAAAAGAAACCAGGTATGTAGCAGGGTCATCTGCATCATCACCTCGAACCTAATGAGGTATAATATCAAAATCAGCTGACCGGTGTTAAAAAGGAAATTATTTTAGGACGATGAGAAACAATGATAACAACAATCTGAATTTCGAGATCTTGCCACATACATCCCAGAGATATTCCCGAACCCAAGAATATGAGATATCTTCACTTTCATCATACATATCCTTTGACAGCTGCCATGAAAGATGCAAAAGTCAGCATCTTGAAAAATATCTAGCGTAAGGTATCAAATAATTGAAAAGTGAACAAAGCTCAATAACGCAGAGGCCAATCTACCTCTCCAGGTGTCGGGACCATGTATCCCAGAAATTTCTCAGGATTTACATGATCTGCACCTGTTGCAGTATAACTTTTCATAATTGCCTGTAAACAAAAAAATGGATAGGAGTCAAAGCCCAGAACATTCAATAATCAGCACCACAAATAAAATACTTTTTAGTGCGGAATGAGCCTTTACATGAAGGATCAGAAAGATTAAATGCAGAGTTACCACGAATTACAGAAAACAAAAAGGTGATTTCAACGCGAGATGAACTTATAGCAATAAAGCACCCACTTGAGGTTTTGCCACAAATTTAAACACTATGATGCAATAACAAATCCTGTAACGTACAAGATAATGAAAACTATTAACTTCCTCAACTTTGACAAACACTTAACAGTCGTGGAACACTAATACCATCAATCAGCTTTGATTCCAATGACCAACAACCACACAGCAATTTGGTAATAAGAGGTTTGAGATACGGGGACATATGGATTGTAAAGATTGCCACGTGACAGCAAATAAAAAATTCTTTCCTACAGTACAGGGACCATAACACCCCAGGGCCAAAAGGCAAAACCATTTTTGAATCACAATTATGATTATGTATCCCTATCATAACGGTAATTCAAATGCAACTACTTGCAGTAAAACCAACAATGGTTTGCCTGATATTGTCAAATGTGTCATTTGAAATATCTTGTTTAGATTTTTTTGCTGCCTTGCAAAATTTCAAGTTTCATTCTTATTCACTATTTTAAAAAAGCAAGTAAAAAAAAATCAAGAATCAAGACAATAAGTGAGTTACGCAAATATTTAAATCCATGACCGAAATTTATGTTACTAGGAATATGTTTGTTATCATGAGATGGCCTACCCTCGATTCATGGGCTTCACGAACAGATTTCTCCAACTTGCTGTAAATTTCTGAATCAGCTGTTGGAGCACTATCAAATGCAGCAACAACGAACCGGTGATCATGTCTGCAAAACAAGATGACATACAGCTTAGGTATTATGACCACAAAAAACATGTTACGGAGAAGCACCAATCTTTTGGTATAAAAAATTCAGGCTTAGTGGTTTGCTTGGTTGGGGAGAAGGGAAGGAAGTTAAACTTTTCGAGAAATAATGAAATTGTTGCTTTTTAATTCATTAAAAACTATAACTTCTAGGGACCATTTAAGGCAAGTAACTAGCTGAGAAAACCTTAGGTTGGTTCTAACTTCCCTAGGTTTTATTCCTTAAAAAATCATCAATCCAAAATTATCCTTTCATATTGTTAATTCATAATTAATAAACAAGTATTTGTGTCAACATTATAAATAACATATTTAATTAAAAATAATAATTTTAACTTCCTGGAAAATAAAAAAGTTAAACAAGCAGCTCATAGGTGGACTACTTGAAAAACAACTTCCCAAAAAGTATAATTCTTGATAAGTTAGCTTCCCCTTAAATATGATCAGTTGAACTAAGTGACCCCTTAACACATAAAACAAACATTCAACTGGCCTATAGACTACCTACCTACTAATTTCTTTCACTGACAAAAATCATATACAATGTCATACCTTTCAATATCAGGCAGCAGAGGCAGAACCTCAACAGGATACAAATTTTTGTTGGTTGCATGAACAGGGGGTAATTTAGCTGCTTCAAATGAAGCTTCTATTTCCTTGATTTGTCTTTCCCTGCAACATTAATTTATTGAGTTACGTTAAAAAATATCACGGAGCTCATACAGCAATATTCAATTTTAAAATTGACTTTCGATGGACAAGATCACGAACAGCATACCTATTGTTGAAATTTTCCAAAATATTGCGGCCTCCCTTCATCTCTCTAAGTTCTTTTGCTTGTTTTTCAGTTAAAGACTGCAACAGCATGTTATCAAGTTATTACTACTAGGAAGAATAGTGTGCTTATTCCAACAAACACGTCCATTACCTGTTTTGTTGATTCCATGCTCAGAGGAGATATGTATTGTGTTTTAACAAGCCAAGCAACACCTTTATCAGTAGGCCTTTCTTTTCTTCTTATGCCGGTCTTTTTAACAGGGGTTACCGCTTCATCATCTCGCAATAATTCTTCATCTTCCAGAGCAAGAGGTGGTCTGATGCCGGAAGGACTAAAAGACAAGTGGAAAACAATTCATCACCTAGTTAGTGAGTGCAAACCACGAAAGTTATCAAATATATCAAAGAAGTTGAGGATAATACTTGTAAACACTGAGATCAAGCAGGTCCAGAGGTATCCCAAGATCTGGCTCCACAAAAAGTTTGGGCTTATATAATTTCTCCAGAGATGTGATTGTATACTTCGAATATCTGCAAAATGATCATAAGTTACCAAAATAACATACAAGCCAACAAAATACCATTTTTCTTAATAACGTATGGCATGGCACTAAAATAGCCAAATCCACGTAAACCAATTACATTCCCTCTCCTCATCATAATCTGGACATCTTGTAGGGATTTCACCTGCCCAATTTCAAGATTGATGCACGTGTCTCCCTAACTGTTACTCTAAAATGTTCGTGTTCCATTTCCATAATTTATTTTCTCTACAAGGGAATTCACACTCTTTCCAAGAACTTAAAGATAACCAGTCCCTTTGAACAGTAATATCTTAATAAATCCCATGAGTCAGATTACAAGACATGTCATCACTGTGTTCACTCATGTCTTATTTACTCATCATATGTTGACCAGCTCCCTCACCTGATTGCCAACCCCACTCCCCCTCCCCCCCCCCCCAAAAAAAAACAAAAAGAAAAAAACAAAGGAATCAACAACAACCACCAACTATAGAGACATGTATGCTAAGTGCTAACTGCTAACAAACATACACGTTACACACAACAAGCATATTGCTGTGAAGAAGAAAATAGGAATACATACTGATCTTTGTCTTTCTTGAATGCCATAAGCTTGGGTTGTGCACTTGGATCTGGAAGTTCATTTCGGAATCTTGAATGTTGAACACATAAGAATGTATCAGTAGTGGAAGGAAATACTACAGCACGCAAAGTCATTCATTACAATAATTTCAGTTTCCTGCCTTGTGCATTAATACTGACACTCTAATAAACTAAAATTAAATTAAACATCATTTAAAACAAAAACACCCATAACAGAGAAAAATCAAAAATTAAATATAATATATACAGAAGAAACAGCTGTTTACACTTCACATTGATGACCAGATAAAGCAAGAAAATTGGAAGAAATGTTGAACTCAGGAAACATCTCGACATACTCACTTCAGCTTGCACAAAAAGGTCGTGGGCTTTTTCAACCTATTTTCAATTCTGTCACCGCTCAATAGTGGAGTGGTCCTCTTTTCACCCATTCGCGATCCTACAATTGAACCATGCCCCTTCCCAGATGACAAAATTTGGGTCTTTTGCAGAACACTATTCTGTGATTCCTTCAGCTGCTGCCTGTGTTTTTCTTCCTGTCTTTGCTTCTCAAATTCTCTCTTTTTTCTCAACCTCCTTTCCTCCTCTGTCTCAATCCTCCCAGGAGGCCCATTTGATTTCTTTGGTGGCATTGCAGGAACAGCGGGCTTCTGCTGTTTATGAGGCATCACATGATGTGAATGTTCATGATCACGCCTACCGGATGGCATGGGCCCTTTATTGCGGTCGTGCAATCGCCTCTCATCCTTAATTTGACTTTGCGGAGGAGCTGCAGCCGATGGCGGTGAACTTGGAGGAGGTGGAGGTGGAACAGAAGAACTTGGTGGCGGAGACAGAGGAGGTGGAGGTGGCTGCTGGTCATACTGAGGGAACTGACCAGAAGGATAATACAGAGGAGGATGTGGTGGAGGCTGCAAGTTAGCTGAATTTTGTTGCGGCATTGAAGTTGCTGGTGGCGGAGGAGGTGGTGGAGGCGGGTAAGAAGTTTCAGGTGGGGGAGGAGGTGGTGGCTGATATGGATACTGTTGATGGGAAGGAGGAGGGGGAGGGGGTTGTTGACTTCTCGGAGCACCATAATGCTGTGAAGATGATGATGATCCATATCCACCATGATGATAATTAGAATTTGGGGCCATTTGGTTGTAGTTCTGGGGAAAAGAAGTAGAAGGAGCTGACGGCATACTACCATCGCCTCCACCATAACCCCAGCTCTGATTGTACTGATTTCCACGTTGTTGAGGTGGATGTCCTGGTGCTATAGGGTTTTGACTCGGAGGTGGACCATACGACGATTGCGGAGGAAAAGGCCTGTAAGAGGCCATGGTTGATTCCGACGACAAATTAACAGCTAGGGAACAAAAGAACTCAAATTACCTTCTCCGGTTCTATCAAGGAAAAAGAACTTTCGAACCGATAAGCTAATAAGCTCTAGGGCAATCTCCTACTGTTTATCTCTTTCCCTCCTCCAATCCCCAAATCTCAAAATTAAGGTCGAACCAGGTAAGCCCCGAAACTAAAATTACTAATAATAGTAATAATAATAATAATAATAAAATAATGACAATTCCAAATCACAAACCTCAAAGAAATTAATAAACTAGCAGGAGCAAAACGAATCTTTTTTCATGAAACTAGGGGAATAGAGATATTCCTAGAAGAGAAAAAGGGGGAATTCAAACTCTAATTCCTTGTAAAGTCACGTCAATCAAAAAGCAAATCCTGGAAGAAAAAATAATCAAAATGCCGTGGATACCCTAGAGATCTTAATTCTAAACTTGTCGCAGATTATGCCTATATGGAACCGCAAGTTGGAAGGAAGCAAATGAGGTGGACGCGTATCAGTCGTACATAGAAGTTATGGGGAAAATAAGGGAGAAAACTGCAGTGGTGGAAGACAGAGAAAGAAAAGAGAAGACGGAGAGGAGGAATCGGAGGATCGACGACGAGTGAGAGCAGACATCAGAGACGAAGCACGCAGCGGGAAACCCCGAGTTTTTATTTTGTTGACCCGGCGTTCCTCGGTTTCTTTGTTTTCCTAATTAATTATTTACCGATGAAAACATAATTTGGTAGTTAAAACCCCTACTAAATTTTTACTGGAAACGGAATATTTTGACGTGGAGTGGTGTGGAACCGGGGACTGTAGGAGCCCAGGATCGAAACTCTCTAGTCTCTTCCTTCTATATTTGAAAAATAAGATGACTTATTCAAATTTTGAACATATTAAAAAAATCATGTGGTAGAAACTATCCAATTCAACCTGATAATATTTGAATATGATACCGTAAAAAAAAAAAAGAATACTAGAATTGTTGATCCTTGTATTAATAAGTTTTGGATATAATATCTTGTCTAATAATATTTTTTTAGTTAAATGATATTCTAACCCTTATGAAAAAAAATATAATTAATAGTATGAGGTTTTGAAAAACAAACTTATAAATTAAGAGATTAATTTTAAATATTTAAAGGTAAGAGAGTTGTATGTAACCGTTTCAAAATTTAAAGAAATTTTATATATTTTAGCTTTAAAAATATAAAGATTAAGATTGCTGATAAATGAAATTTAAGCGACTTGAAAAAATGAAATAAAAAGTATCAAGACTAATTCTAAAACATGCTAAAAGTATTGATACTAAAAGTTATATTTTCCTAAATAGATATTAAATAATAGATAATTGTTTAAAAATCATGTTATTTTGTGTGGTCTCATAAATTGTGTTATTTCCCAAAATTGTGTTATTTTAAAATTTCAAGCATTCACCATTTTCTTCCTAAATTATCTCATAGTTTCATAAGTTTTTCTCTTTCATAATATATTTTTCTTTACCTATACTTATCCTATTTCTCCTTTCCTTTCTTATATTAAATCAGGATATTTTAGTTAATACTCTCTCATGACCAAAATATAGTGCATTTTATTTCTTGAAAAATATTATTTTAAATCTTAATTTTAAATTTTAATGCATTATCTTTCAAAAAGAATAATAAATAAAATAGAGATATAATTTAAAAAATAATTATAAAAGTTACTAATATTCTATATTATGGACAAAGTAAAACTTCTAAAAGATATTGTATATTGTTGATCAAGAGAGAGTATATACTAATATTTCATATTAATTAAAAATTATTAATTTATGTGTCACCTTAACTAGCAATTGATAGTATGAAAAATAGATAGTATGGATAAATTGAAAACAGGGTTGACTTCTCGCGACAAACAGGGTTGATTTTTTAATAAATTTTACATTTATGTATTATATATATAATAAATAGTAAGTATTTGTCGATTATTCAAATTTATATATATCTTAATTATGTTAGAAAAAAATAATAATAAACCTTTAACAGCCCTACTTATATTGTGAAAATAATAGCTATACTTTCAAGATGTAATTGATTCTCATATTTTAAATAAATAACAGTTAATTTTTTCATGTATCTTAATACAGTCTCAACTCTCAAACGAGTGGAGGAAATGAGTGTGTGAAGTGGTGTACTTTTTATGTAAGGCTTTCGTGTATTTTGGTTAAAAAATGTGACATTGGAATGATAAAGAGCAGAAGAGCAGACTACAGATTTGGAAAGTTCGTGTACAATAACATATCTGAACGTCTGTAGTGAGATTTAAGGAGATACCGTATCCGTATGTGCTGTTTTACTGGATACCCCCTTGTCATCTTCTCGACATTTGTGTTTTTTTGTTTTGTTCCCTTTTTCGGGTACGCTAGGTCCACGCACCATGCCGTTAATTTTTTTTTTTAAAATTAATTATTTAATCATTACATTTTTTTTTATTATAATTATAACTCAACTTTTAAACTTTAACTTATCATGACTCAATTTATTATAATTTTACCTCAATTTTTAAACTTTACTTATTGTAATTTAGTCTTTACAGTTTTAATTATTTAAATATTAATATCTATATTTTAAAAAATAAAATATAAAAATTAAAAATATTTTAAACTTTAAATATTTATATTCTCTATAATGATTAAAAGGGTTTAGATGATTAAAAATAAAAAAAATATCAATTAAGGACCGTTGGAGGAAACTTATATCAGTGAAAGATTATTTATTGTCAGAACTCAAATATATAATTGTCGATTTAGGTTAGTTTGTTATCACAAGTATCCATTTAGGTTTTAACAATAACTCATTTTAAATTAATAATAATCTATTAAGATATTTTTTCATTCAAATTTTGACAATAACTAATCCTTAATTAATATAAATTTCCTCCAGCGATCCTTCATCACTAATTTCTCTTAAAAATACAAGGATTGAATTGTAAGAGTTAAAATTCAAGCACTAAGTTAAATTTAAATTAAACTTTTAGGGATTGAGTTACAATGAGTTTAAGTTTAGAAACTAAGTTATAACTAAATTAAAAGTCAAAATTCTAAGGATTAAATGATTAATTTTTCTTTTTTACAATAGTGATATCTCTTGATTGTGTGCATGTGTGTTGCTTTTAGAGACAATTCTATTTAAGGCAGCTAAATGATGTGAGCACCTACTTAAAAATTCAAATCAATAATTTTTTTTTTACTTTCTCACGAGTATCTTTGTAACACCCTCAAATTTACAAATTAATTTTTCGCAAATTATTAATTCAAGAAATCATTTTTTTTCATTGAACCCTTATCATACCCTTATCATGGTAGAACAATTTCTACCATGATACATCCAAGACAATATACCACAGGTCTTAAAATATCTCAAAAAGCAATTAGAACCATGAGGGACAGACATGATCCTCATAGCATGTTATTTAAATTAGGTCATGAATCAAAAGGGACAGACATAATTCTCTTGGACATATAAATGCATTTAATAAAAAGGATTAGAGTTTACATGCTCCATAGACAAGATATGTCCTAAGTTGGCACAAGATACATTGTATAATCCAAAATAAGAGGCAACGTAAAAGATAGTGTCTCATACACCATAATTACACCTCTGGTGCTTTCTCGGCCGGATTCGTTCCTGTAAAAATATCAACCACGGGGAATGTGACTTAAAAGTCCCAGTAACTAAAAATTAATATGTAATGATGCATGCGGATGTAACTAATCATGCGATTGCTAAGTGGGCACACAAAACATTTAACCAAACAATATTTTCAAACAAACCGAACAAGTATTTAATTGCATGACTGCACCTTATATCCTCCTTTCACCATGCTCGGACGCCAAATCACCCGGCCAAAGGTGAGTTGGACCAAGCGACACGCCACTCATTGGGTCCAATGAGGGCTTACCACGTGGTAATAATTAACCGAACAGAAATTCCCATTAACACCATATATTAAAATACCCTGACAAGTCATGCATCATTCAAATATCCAAATAGAAATATATCCGAACAATAATAGCTCATCATGATAAGCAAAAATAAATTTTTAACCCACTTGGCAATAATTTCAAACAAGTATATATACAGTATTTATTTTCAATAGTTCATAATTTTTTCAAACAACAAAACAACACATAACCATTCACAAACACACCCATCACAACACATTAATAATGGTTACCTTGTGTCTTGAATAACAAGTTCCCCTTCACAACTCCTTTTTCACCACTATCTTTGTCAATATAATCTACATAATTATTTCACAATACTATATATTAATTTTACATTAAAATAAATAACTCTAATTTAAATAGTTAGAAAGTTTTAGATCTATAATCCATATTAACACTAATTTAAGATTTATGCCTCATTTAACTTCCCAAATTCTTTTCTAAAATTTTCGTACTCTAATAAACTATTTTTTTTATCCTCAAATCACTTCTAGTATCACAATTTCATCCTTCTATATTTTAAAAATTCATCCAAAAATAAATTAAATTTTAAAATTATCCTGAAGCCTCAAATCACCTTTCTATAACCTCAAAAATACCTATTCATACTTAAATAAATATTTAATAATCATAGGTTTATCCCTACATCTCAGATTCCACATAAATTCAACCATATAGATCTAGATTTTAACTCAAAAATTCTTAAACATGAGTTTCAACCTCAAGAAAATATTCTATAATATTTATTATATCCCTAAGAGTTTTAACCTATATTTTTAATCCATCATATCATCAGATTAACTATCCTATAGAAAAATCCTAATTAAAATATTTACTCTATCCTACAAAATAATCATATCACTAGAAAACTAATATTATTTAGAAAATAACTATAAAATTAATTTTATAATTAAATAAATTTTTAAATGCTAATCTAAACAGGAAAGTTAGAACATACCTGAAGAAAAAGAAAATAATCCCCCCTTGCGAGAAAACGCCGAGCAACGTGAGAGGAAGAGAGAAAAATAATATAAAAATAGGATTGTGAGTCCCAAAATTATATTAAAAAAAACTATAGGTTTGAATTTAATTATTCAAACCTTTGGGCCAAAAGTTGCAATTTCCTCTAAATTGCATCTTAGCCTCTCATGCTTCCTAATGCACACACCCCCTCCCTTTTATACATGAAGGCACCTCTTCTCTTCCCTCATCTAACTAATGTGGGACTTAAAAACAATAACCTTTCACCCCCCCTTTTTTTTTGGTTCCTTCTACCTTCTCTTTTTTTTTAACACACACATAAAAAAAATTATTTATGTATTATATCTTAACTAAATATTGCTTATGTGGTTTTAAATTTAAATTTTTAAATTCATAATTAAATACCTAATCATAATATTATTTCTAAATAACCTCAAATTATATAAATTCTTATTATTATCATTTTTTCCCTCAAAACCTAAATTCCACAATTTCTTTATTATATAAAAATCAGGATGTTACAATTCTCCCCTCCTTTTAAAAATTTTGTCCTCAAAATTTAATAATAAGCTTAGAAACTATGTACCTAAGCAAATAAATGTGGATAATCTCGCCTCATACTCTCCTCGGTCTCTCAAGTAGCATCACCTAGGGCTCCACCCTTCCAAATCACCTTCACAAGTCGGATGGTCTTATTGCGTAGTTGTTT